GCGTCTCCGGTCAGGTTGGTCACTGGCCGGCCCTCCTGCCGCAGCAGGAAGTCCACGTCTCGCGTCCAGGCCTCGACGCGATTGCTGGGTCCGAACACAGCGCGGAGAAAAGAGCACGGCGGCAGTGTGTTAGCGCCAGAGGAGTCTTTAACGTCAGCCAGAAGGGCGGCTGTGGGACAGCACACTAACCCTCGCCCCGGCAGAAGTACAAGTACAAGAAACGCAACACGGATCCTTTCTGCTCCCTAAACACAGAGGGGATCCGGACACTGGCCACTAATCTTCCGTCCAGCCCCCTTGACAGTAGGGTTAAAATTTCTCAACCCAAGCAGAGAATCAAGACAAGCAAAAAGCAAAGTAAACAAAATCGACTGCCTGCTGAAATCAGAAGCTTTGAAATGCCTCACATTGCAAGAACAACACTGCAGGGAATCCACCTATGAGCTCACTCGAGTGTAAGATACTAACTTCTTGTTCGAGGCTCTTTAACTGGGCACAGGGCCAGTGTGCGCTGCAGTTCCCCCTACCTGACTGTGTGCCCTCCAGACCTGTAGTCCAGCTTCCCCAGCTTCTTCGTGTAGTATCCTCGCTTCCGGAGGAGGTCCATCCACGTCGTGTAGTTCTCCTCAAGGCATTTGTAGTTATTCCACGACTCCGTCAAATGGACGAATCGGCCGCTCCACATGGCTGGGGAGAAACCCACCACAGCTCTTCAAAGGCTTTTGTGACTTTCAGGAACACAAAGACACATTTCTCCAGGCAATTTAGCGCACAAACATGCTTCGCTTTGGGGGTGCAGAAAGTCCCCCGGCCAATGGTGTTGTCGGGGCCAATGGTGGGTAAAAGGTTTTTAAAATTTCAAACAGGTTGTTTTTCCCCGAATAGTGTCAAGCAGTAAGTGACTGGCTGTTCATGGCAGGCTTACCTGCTCTGGATGGGCAGCAGATGGGGGAGTTGGTGTAAGAGTTGAGAAAGACAGCCCCCTGCTCCCTCATGTAGCTTATGTAGGGAAGCAACACGGTCTTATTCCCCGGCTCGAAGGTCAGCCTGCCATCCTGAAAGAGAGCAGAGTCGCCCCTAATTCAGAGCTGGGTTGCATGCCACTCCTACATGTTCATGTTACCAGGATCTGCTGGGGAAGGAATAACACACGTGAAACTCTGAACTGTCAGATTAAGATCTGGCGAAACACGACCCAGAGTGGATCTGAACTCACACCCACACCAGACCCCTGCGGATCTTCTGTGCATGCCCTGCAGGGTGGGCATTTATTTCTAGGAAACAATTTCCATCATTAAAGCCTTTTAATAATATTATAACAATGACTGAGCTGGAAAGATTAGTCTTCTGACTCTCCCTTCATTGAACAACGTTGCGATA